AGGTAGTTGACATTGAGCCACACGGCACCCCGCCAGTAGGGAGGATCATGCTCTGAATTGCGCTGGCCATAAAAGGGGCTGGAGGCTGCAAGGGAGCGCAAACCAAAGGGGCTCCAGAGATGGCGGCTGTCAGCTAGGACATCCAGCAGGGGCCCAAGGCGGGAGGAGTTGGGGTCCAGCAGCCGCAGCAGCATGGGAAAAAGACTGACATAGCCCAAGGCATCCACGTACTGTAAACGAGGGTGGGGCCGGCCCACCACCCGCACCAGCCCCTGAGGGGGCCGAGGCTTCAGCTGCACTGCTCTTGTGTGGTTTCCAAAGTCTGCAAAGACTCCTAGCTCTGGGGCCCAGTGCAGCTCATCCAGGCTCTCTTCTGCCTCCAGTGATGCAGCCAGTGGGCCCAGCTCCGCAGCTGCCTCCACCTCTCCCAGCTGCTCTGCCAACCGTACCAGCACACGGGCACCCAGTGCCACCCAGCACCGCAGGTCCAGGTGCCGCTCACTGGCTGAAGGATGCGAAGCCCGGGGATAGTCATCCAGCCCCGAAGGCAGTGTCTTAGGGTTCAATAGGGTTGGCAAGGCAGGGTCCCGGCCCCGCCAGCGATAAGACAGTGGCACTGGCCCTGCCTGACTCTTATAGAGCCAGGAGAACCAGGCACGCAGGCGGGGGAAGGCCCTGCGGAGGAAGGCAAAGTCAGCAGGGTCACCACTCTCTAGCATGTGGGCTATAGGCAAAAGCAGGGTTGGGGGATTGGCATGCGCTGCCCTTTGCACCAGGAATTCTGGGGGCACCCGGGCTCGGGCCTCATCCCCCAGCACCTGCTCCCGTCCAATCCAGCCATCAGCATTGAGCAGCCCCAGCCAATGACCTAGGACCTCCCGCGTAATGCGGGGATCCCACCGCTGGACCACCAGCTGGTGAAAGCCTTCATCCCAAAGGAAGCCTCGTGGGAAGAATGACCGGGAGGGCACTGCCGTGAAAAGAGGGACAGGTGGAAAGAGGGCTGGGTCCACCTTCTGCTCAGACCCCTCAACCCCCATGTCTGCCAGCACTAGACCCTGTCCATAGAAGTAGCCAATCCCACCAAGGAGGCCACTGAGGGCAGCCTGACCCAAAGCCTGCTCCTCAGGGCTCAGGCCCTTCCCCTTCAGTTGAAAAGTCTTCTCAAAGTGCTCTCTAAAGGTGTCAGCATGGCTCTCCAGGGCTCGGGTCAGCAGGCTGCCGGCCAGCTGCTCCCAGGGTTGGCTTCCTCCTGCCCGGGCACTGCCCGATTCAAACACCAACTCCACGGAAAAGGGGACTTTCAGTGTCACCTGTTGTATCAAGAATTGCCCTTGTCCCTGTCCTTGCCCACTTGGGCCTTTGTCCTCCCACTTCAGAGATCCTGGCAAGCCGAGGTAGCGTTCAGGGGAAGCCCCTGGTGGCCGGTGCTGAAACCAGCTATTTAGGCGACTCTTCACCATCTCTGTCAGCAAGGGAAGTCCTGGGTTGGAGGACCAGAAGACATTGTAGCTTGAAGAGAAGAAGATATGGAGAAAATTACTCAGGAGAATACGGTAAGGATTATAAAGAGAAATAAGATGAGATCAGCAGTCAGAATGGAAGGGTCTTGGCAATGCAGGGGACATGGAGCCTGGTGAGAAGGGAAAAAAATGGTGGAAAGAGGGTAGAGTGGGGGAGATTGAAATCAGGCTAAGTCCGCATCCATACCACCCCTACCAGCACCCCCACCTTCTCTCTTCCCCTAGTTACCTGCTGTACTTAGGGGCAGTGTCCCCTGGATTGGTTGGTGCCATAAGTGTAAAACGGAAGTCACCAAGTTCACTGGAGTGCCCACTGATGAATTTCAATTGCCCCTTGGCCCCAACCTCTGGCACTAGGACTTCCTTGCCATCTGTCACCACATAGAAGAACAGGGACACCAAAGGGAGGGTAGAGGTACCTGAAGTCTGGATGACCAAGGAGGACAGAAAAACATAGCATTAGATTAGCAGTACCTCCTGAAAATTCAGCTTTACTGAAAGGGGCACCATGCAGGAGCAACATGGTAAACATACATCTACAGTGTTGAGGGTCAGTGAGGATAAGCACCCAGTGAGATGAGGTATAAAGCTTTGCACAGGGTTCTCTGGGAAATAATAGAATGCTTTTGTGTCATGTACTATACTAAGAACGCTACACATCATTTTCTTTCATTCGTACAGTTCTATGAGTTAAGTGCTATTTGCATCTCCATTTTGCAAAAAGGCTTATGGATAGTAAATAGAGATGGTCATACAGACAAATGTTTAAGGCAGGCAGCCAGACTCAGAGCCCCTGCTGTTAACTGCCACATCACACTGCATTTGCTGGCAGCAAAGAAAGGGTGAAGGGAGTCTGGGCTGGGGGAAGGGTGTCCTGAGGCCCTGACCTGAGGTTCTACAGTCACTCTCCAGCTCCAGTCCCCTCCGTGCTGACCCCCAGGCCTCTTGACGAACTCAGTGGTGAGCCTTAAGGCCCCATCCTGGATGTGTTGCCGCCCGAAGGAGAGACCGTCGTGGAACTCCCAGCCATAGGGACCCACGCCGTCCCCCTGCTCACACGTGTGCCTGAGCTTAGGGGTCCCTGGGGTGGCGCCTTGCTGTGCCCACATCAGTCCTGGGGGTAGAATGGCCACGTAAGTCAAAGAGAGAGCAGGGGACCTGTCCCTCTGGGTCTCCAAGAATTTCAGGGTCATCCCTCCTCATAACTCTCCTGAACCACACCCCTCCCCACTCTTGATCTGGCGTGAAGCTGGGGCTCCCAGATTAAGAGTCCGCCTGTCTACCCGCCCGTCCCGAGGCCGTTACCGGTGAGGAGGGGCTTCGGGCTGCGGGTCTTCATGCCGAAGTAGACGTGAGGGCGGTAGGTGCCCCAGAAGAGGTCCGGGGCCACGGCGGGGCTGGAAGAGTCGGGAGGCAGTGCCGGGGGCGCGGAGTGCAGTGTGACCGCCCGCCGCGCACGGTGCCACGCCAGCAGCCAGCAACCTGACAGGCCCAGGGCCAGAGACAGGACCACGACGCCCAGAGCCGCTCTCCAGGCAGAACCACGGGCCTCGCCGCCCCGTCGTGCGGGGCCACCCCGAACCGCCCTTTCAGTTGTCCGCGGTCCGTCTGCCGGCGCTCCGCGGCGCCGCCGCTCGCCCCGAGCCATCCTAGAAGGGAGGTCGGCGTTGCGGGAGCTCGGAGAGGCGGCAGTGGAGCCCGGGTCCTGCTTTGTCTCCCCGGCTTGCGCGCGGCGCACCGGCAGCCACGGATCTGTCAGCCGAACCGGCCGGCCCGCGCCTCCCGCTCCGCTTCCGCCTCCTGCCGGAAGCCCCGCCCCGCCACGTCCGATTAAGTCTCCGAGTCCCGAACCGCCGCCACCGGCGTGGCAAAGGGCTGGTTGTCTCCAGGGTTAACGTTTCTTTGGCCATCTCACGGATTTCACAAGCTGGTAGAGAAAAGTAATCTCACGTTGGCTTTTTTGTTTTTCAAATGACTATGTAAGAACCTGAAACGCCATGCCGAGTGTTTTACATGTAACCGCCCCAATCAGGTGGCTGAAAACTGGCCTAGAAAGTTAAAGTAACTTGGCCCTGGCCACAGAGCCAGGAAGTGGCTAGCTTGGAGCCCAAGTGTATCTGAAACAGACTGGATCACTTTGCCCACACCCATGCCTTCTTTCCTAGTTAAGTGGAGTGTGCCAGAGTGGACCCAAGAGGAAGCCTGAGATCTGTTCCAACAGTGTCTTTAAGCGACCCTCTGACAGTTTTGGACTCCTTATCTAGATGAACCCTAAAAGGACCGTAACGGTGGTGCGTGCACTTTAAAGAATGCATTTTACCCCCTCTTTTCTACAACCCAGGAAGCACAGAAGCTTAGGGGAAGGATCAATTATATCCAGGTCAGAGAAGGCTATAGGAAGTGGCATCTGCACCTCAGGTGGACCTAGGAGAGTTGACATTACAATTAATGGTGGTTCAGAAAAGCAACTTGGATTCAGTTACTTGTTTCTCACAAACAGCCTGGCATAAAAGGTATTTTCATAAAGTACAAGTCCCTATTATCCTTTAAAAAACCCTACTCAACACCATGATGCTACTCTAGCTATTATCACACCTCCCATCCAAACTCATTATATAAAGTTAACACTGTATATTGCATGTTCACTTTCTATTTTGCTATAACCTGATGTCTGACCACCACCCCCACCCCCCGCTGACTAGACTTTTTGCTTTTTCAACAATCACCTTCTGACCAATCCCAATGGTCACTCCTGTCTTTACCTTTCTTGCTACCATTGCATCTAGTTCATATCTCTATTGTAGCACTCATTACATACCTGGGTTTCATTATTCATCTTTGTATGCCAGTACTAATCAAAGTTACAGGCACAAGGTAGATAGTAAATATTTGTAAATTCAAGACATGTTTATTGCACACTATGTATCAGGCACTATGTAAAGTGCAGGGGACACAGAGAAAACAGCCCCAACCTCAAGTTCACAGTGCCAGCATTCAATCTATGTTTACAGCAATGTCTGAACCATCCCCATATTTACAGATGAGGAGAGTGGTAAAATCTGGCCAGAGATAACAGCCAGTTAACCATCAAGCTGAGGAACTACAATCTAGGCGGGCAGTATCCTTTCGGCTATAGCATAAGGCCTTAGACAACACTTATGCTCACGGTAATGTTCTAGGCGATTTACAGATACCAACTCATTTAATCCTCTCAACAGTCCTAGGAGATAGGTACTATTATCCCCATTTTACTAGTGAGGAAACAGGCACTGAGACTAAGTAATTTTCCCACAGTCACAGAGCTACTTAGGGACCATGTTAGGATTTCAACCCCAGGAATTCTGGCTCTTTACTACACCATACTACCTCCTGGTAGGTTGTTTTTTGGTAGTTTCTTTTTTAAAGGGGGAGGGGGGAAAACCCAGCTCTTGAAGATTGCACCCTTTTAAGCAGAGCAGCAGTGTACTAACGCTGTAGCAAAGTCATGGAAAATGTATTTGGCAAAGGATACAAGCAGCCAGTGTCAAGAGATCCTTGATTGCCTAGCTAAGCATTCTGAAGTTCTCTAAACCCGTAGCCATCAACCATTTTTCCTACAATCCGAGGTAAGAATAATTCTACACTGCAACCAAGTACATGCAGATACACACATATATACATACTTTCTATTTTATATACGTATATTTATTATTATAGGCTGAACAATTTCTTAAAAGAATACTTCCCATTCCTGTGCCATGCACTCTGATACTTTTTGTTCTATTTTACTTTGTTTTTTAAAGGTTGATTTATCCCCCTAAATTGATTTCATGATCCACACCCAGTATGAAAAACATGTTAGGCACAGTGTGAAGCAAGTAGTAGCAAGACATAAAAACAGTGATGTGCTTTGAAAAATAAAGTTAAGCAGCAGTAAAAATGATCAGAAAAAAAGGAGACTGGGTGAAGAATACAATGATACAGTTAAATGAATGGGAATGGAGAAAACATTTCAGAAGCTTTTGTTTAAGACAGAATATTCTGAGCTTACTGACTGGATATGCAGGGTAAGGGAGAGGGCAGAACCAGAGATAATGCTATGGTTTCCAGCCCCAGTGGCTGAGCAGATGAGTGCCCTTAAAAGGAATGGGGAAGTCAGGGGAAGAGGCAAGTATATTTGTATGTAAGATTATCAATTCTATTTTGGACAAAGAGTGTTGTGGAATTTGGAGGAAATCAGTAGTATGTAACCTGACTTTAGCACAGTAGTTGAGATTAGAGCCAAAGAGAAATGCAGGATTTAACCCTCTGTTATGACAGAGGATGAAATGCCCCAGAAATAGAGAAAAAAGTGAAGGATGAGAGCAGTACACTTTTATGATTAAAAGGAAAAAGACCCAAGAGGAAGAGAAGTTCCACAAGGGAGTGAATTAAAAGTGGCAGATGCTACTGAGATGGAAAGATGAGGACCGAGAAAAACAGCACTGGATTTGGCTGATGGCTAAGAGGTACCTTGAGTGAGTGATGGGAGAAGCCAAATTCAAAAGGGTTAAGCACGGGCCGATGGTAAGAAAGTGAAATAAATTCAAGTTTGTCCAGACCCCTATCTGATCGTGTCTCGTTCCAGAAACGTTGGTTTATCAGTAATCACGGGACCCTCTCTCTCTCTTTTTTTTGGCGCTCCGTGTCCCTTCAGACGGTGATTCGAGTGATGAAGTCTCTCAAGCTCTTCTTAGGTAGGTATCCTAACAATCCCAAGCTAAAATCTGATTGTTGGGCTTTTCTGCGCTGTCAGCGCCCGGTACCAGCGCCGGGCTTGTCCCCGCTTCCCGCTGTAGCCCTGGCCTGGATGTGGGAGGCAAAGGCTGTGAACATTTCTTGAGCAGTGAGGTGAGCGCCGCGCATAACCAGGCGATGCCCGTCTCCTGGGGAAGAAACAAACGAGTCAGGCACCGGGAGGGCGGCGGGGCCGGGACTGAGGGCGCGCGTGGGCTGCCTGACACCCCTCCCGCCCGCCTCCCCACCGGAGCCCACCGAACAGCACGTCCACGCAGGGCTCGGAGCCGTCGTGCCTCACGTCCGCAATCACCGAGCAGTTGAGGTTAGTGGAACGGACCTTCTCGCTGCTCACCGCCTGGAGGAAGGTCCTGCCGAGGAAAAACTGCTTGAGCGCCCGGCCGAGGGGGGTAGACCCCCGGCGGGAGGTAGACGCGGCCCCTTCCCGTCCCCACTCCTTCCGCCTCGTACCTCGTTGACTCCACATTCTTCTCGAAGGGGCAGAATTGAACCCGAACCTGCTTCACAGATCGGAGGCCGAGCCGAGCTAAGGACGCCGCCATGGTGACCTCCGCCCCGGAAGGCCTAGTGCGGCCGGAAGTGTCCTCTACCGCAATGCTCCCCTTCCTGCCCTGGCTGCTGCGGGTGCAGCTCTCCGACCCTCCGACTCCGGCGCCGGCGTTCCGTGGTGCTTGCCCGCGACCCCGACCGCCGCCCCGGGCTCCCCAGCCCGAGAGGAGGAGGAAGGCCAGCAGGGAGGGAGGTAGTTTCCACACAGGGTATGGAGGGCCCCAAAGTAAGCAGTCAGTAAACACCTATCATTAATAGTCCCCTTGTACCACGGTGAAGCCGATAAATATTGCAAAAGCCGTTGCGCCTGGCTCCGATAACACGTCCGTCTTCTGCAGCCTTTACGCCTCCCGTACGCTCTACGCGGCTGTGCCAGATCTAGGTTAACACCATCTTAAGCGCCGGTCCCTTCGGTGAGGACACGACCATGGCAGGGATTATACAGCTACCAGGGGGTAAACCCTACTCTGGTAACTGAAGATTAAACATGTTGAACTCTGAGTAACCACAGTTTAAACGTGAAGGTCCTTTAGCCCAGTATTCTTAAGTGACTGAAGATAGTTACGAGACAGCGAGTATAGGGTAATACAACCCTCGGGACTGATCCAAGTGTAGAAATGCCTATTCCACCTCTGTGGTTTCCAAGGAACTAACTTAGTGTTTAGCCTGGCTCCTGGGACTTAAAAGTGGCATCCTAGTCTCTCTGCTTTCTATTGGTTTTTCTCTTTCCCTTTCCTCTGGGATCCAACCCTATGGCCCTTCTCGCAGCGCCTAGCCCTGAGAGGTCTTCACTGTTGGGGAACTAGGCCTGAGCCTCCCTTGGATGCTGACCTCCAGGTTCCAGGCTGTGGTTTGGCTCTTTACTCTGGATTGCAGGCACTGGATTGATCTTGGATTCCTCGCTTATAAGTCCAGGCTCTATGTAGCTTGTGGTTCTCAGGTCACCTTTCTTCTAATGTAGGCTTCTTTATATGCAGTTCTAAATGTCTGGGCTTTTCCAGCCAGAGATGGGGAGCCCTGACTTTCTGGCTCCTGGTCCCAGGCTCCTCAGGATTCAGGACTGATCCCCAGGCAGGAAAGAAAAGGCAAGTGCCAACGGGGGCGCTGGTGCTGCCTCAGGGCAAGCCAGGCCTGCTGATTTCCCACCAGGTAAGCCTCTGGGCTAGGCCCCCCTCCCCACAGTGTGCTTAGCAGCTGAGCTGTCTGGGCTGGGGGTGCTCCAGGCCGAAGAGGGGGCTCCAAGCTTTCCAGGCTGTTGAGGCTGCTGCTGGGTAGTTCCATGGACTGGACCTCATTGCAGGTACCTAGGAAGGCAGGAGTGGAAGACAGGCAGTGGGCAGGAGGAGGGGGTTTGGCCACTACTGACAACCACACGAGGTCACTGATGAGGATGGGAGGTAGGGCACATAAAGTAGCAAGGGGCAGGGCAAAGAGAGCCTAGAGTTGGGGAAGAGTGACTCACAGCAACAGGGAGCCCTCCTCTGGACCTCAGGCTTGGGCAGGGGCTGCTGGAATAGACACAGCAGGGCCCCATCCAGCCTCTGGAAGATGTTGAGGGTGAGCAGAGTCTGGCGAAGTTCAGGGGACAGGCCCCACTGCTCCTCCTCCAGCAACTGCCGGACCACTCCAAAGTCTTGTCTGAGCTGCAGCGCCCCCTGCAGGCTGAATGAAGGCCAAGGTACAATGTGGCCACCGGCCTCTACTGCCTCTCGAACTGCTCTGCCCCACCCATCCCCTCCCCGTTTCCAGTTCCGTTCAGCTCTCTGCCACTGCTTCCTTTTCTCCCCACCTGAACCGGATCCCATGCGCGAGGATGTGGTCAAGCCAGGCACCCAGGATGGCTGTCAGTGCCTGGCCAAGGGCAGGGGCCTGGGCTTGGGGTGGCAATCCCTGCAATCCTTGCAACACAGGCTCCAGTACAGTGCGAACCACCAACCCAGCATACTCACTAGGAATGCTGGGCAGTTCTAGAGTGAGAGAAGAGAAAGGACAGGATATGAGGCTATGAAGATCCGCTGAGCCCCTAGCAGTGTTTGGGGGAAGATGATAGGATTTGCAGAGGCATAGAAGGCGAGGACAAGGATGGAGACAGAGGAGTGGTGCTAGGATTTGGAAGGGTCAGGAGACTGTTATCCCCTGGGAACTGTGGGAGGGGACGCTGGGAAGAGGAGTTACCAGGAGAGAGACGATGCCGCCAGTACCGACCCCGTGGCATGTGGAGTTCGAAGCCCTGTGTGGCTTGTTTATGACATTCTTGAAAAAAGAGACTTAGTGACTCTTCAGGCAGGAGCTGTGGACATATGGAGAAAGTAAAAGGGGCTTATCTGTTAGGGACTTGCCAAGTTATGATGCTCTTCTAAATCTGAGGTGTTTAACCTGGCTTCCATAAAGCCCTAGAAAAGAATTGTGTGCATAATTCTATGGGCTTGGGCGGTTTTGAGGAGAAATGCCCTAGCTTTTATTGGGTTTTCCTAAAGGTCTGGACCCCAAAAAGATTACAGACAATTGCCATAGGATTACCCTGCTCTCCTCAGCTTGGTTCAGTGTCTAGAAATCCTCCAGGATAATTTTACTCTCTAGGAATATCAACAGGAAAAAAAGAGGGAGACACCCTCACCACTACGAATGTTCCAAAGCAAATGCTAGAGAGAGGGGTCTGCATGATCTACAGACAGGCAGAGGCTGAAGAAAGGGGGAATTGTATGATCTACATCCATGAAAGGAAGGCAGGAGGGGCGCCTGGGTGGCTCAGTTGTTAAGCGTCTGCCTTCGGCTCAGGTCATGATCCCAGGGTCCTGGGATCGAGCCCCACATCGGGCTCCTTGCTCAGCGGGAAGCCTGCTTCTCCCTCTCCCACTTCCCCTGCTTGTGTTCCCTCTCTCGCTGTCTCTCTCTCTGTCAAAAAATAAATAAAATCTTAAAAAAAAAAAAAAAAGAAAGAAAGGAAGGAAGGCAGGAACTATATGCAGACCAGGAGCAACAACTAACTTTCTGAGATTCAGGAACTTTGGAATGTCCTTACACTGAATATTTTTTACACCCTACCTCCATTTCCCCAGAGTAAACTATAAAGCAAGAAAAGGCCCATGTGCTGGTTTGGTTTCTGTGCTTTGATAGGTTATCTTTTTGGAATGGGAGAGCAAAAAAGAGGGGGGTTCTCTACAGCCCATCTTGGAGAGGAACCCCAAGAAATGGGTAATGTGGTGGCAGCTCTGTAAAGACAAGGTGACTGAATGCCTGTTAGCCTGAGGAGAGGAAGGGGTCTGGGGGCTGGACGGGGGGAAGTGGAGCCCAAGCGGCTCCTGGTACATATCTATCCTGAAAACAGCCTATCCTAAATCCAAATTCTTCCTCTCTTCTCCTGAAAACCAAAACTCCCTCTTATTTATGCCAAGGAAATGACCCTTTTGTCAACTGACATTTGTTAGGAATCTCCCTGCACTCAATACTCTGAGGACACACAAGGTCACACTATGAAATAGTCTTTCTGTCTGGGATGTCACAGTCCAGCTGGGGAGAGAACTTACAACGTCTGATTCTTCTTTCCCATCCCAGGGCCATATGCAGTGGATGCCCAGAGCAAATACCCAACAGTGCAATCACCAGGCAGAGGAACAAGGCATGCAGAGTCCTTCCCACAATGGTTAGTTCACATGGTAAGCACACTGTCCCTATCCCTGTTCTCACAACTACCAAGAGCCAGACCCTTCTCTTATATCTCCTCACCTCCCAACCTGACCACTATAGCTGGATCAGACTCTATCACGGTCTCCACTCCCCTCCTGCTCTTCCCATGGCTTTCCATCATTCATGAGACAAAGCCCAAATTCTGTGGGCTGGTGTTCAGTGCCCTCCACAATTTTATGCCAACCTGCTTTCTCCTCCACAGCCCCCCACCCAACCTTGGACAAAAGTGTGTGTGTGCATGCGTGTATGTGTGTGCATGCATGTGTATGTGTGTGCGTGCATGCGTGTGTATGCGCGCATGTGTGCATGCACACACACACAGGGAGTTTCTGCTTTGGTCAGGTCATCTCCGCACTACTCCCTCAAGGAACTATGAACTTCCCACCTCCAGTAACCCCTGCCACTCATCTGAGGCTGCTTAGCCACCAGCTCAAGCCACAGACCCTGTATGGAGCCTCTCTAATGACATGCCTGCCGTGGCCTTCCTTCCTGAGAGTTTCCATGGCCCTCACTGTCCAACATCCTCATGAGGAGCCCGCTCTGGGGTAGGTTGAGTTGAAGGAGGCAGTAATAAATTGAGGTGGAACAGGCAGATGCAGATGGTAGATTAGGGCTACACTGTGTGTGTTGCCGGGTGTGGGGGGGAGGCGCAGCGCATAGCACCAAAGCACTGTGGGTAAGCAGGAGTGCAGAGAGCAAAGGAGCAGTGGGACAAAGCCCGAACTCTATAGCCTTGCCCCTGTTCAGGGCAGAGGAGAAACTTGGGCAGGAAGAGAAAACAAAAAAACAGAAACATCTTCCATAGTAGGAACAGATAATGTGCAAAATGGGGAAAAATTAAAATAGAAGTATAGTAATTTTACTCATAAGTTTAGAATAAAATAAAATATTAGAAGACAGACAAGAGTGGATGAAGGTTATCACTGTGGAACAGGAAGCAGAGGTGGGGTGGGGGCAATTAAAGTGCTATGTTTTTCATTAGAAGCCTTCTAATATAATATCCTATTTCACATTTAAACTATGGACATGTATTTAATGAAAATGTAAATGATATATGTAGAAAAGAGGACAAACATCGTCTCAAAGCTAGTAAGTAAAAGGAGGGGCCCTTGGGTGGTTCAGTAGTTAAGTGGCTGACTTTTGCTCAGGTCATGATCTTGGGTCCTGGGATCCAGGCCCCCCACCCCCACCTCTGTGCGCTCAGCAAGGAGTCTGCCTGTCCCTCTCCCTCTGCCCCTCCTTCTGCTCATGCTCTCTCTCTCTCTCTCTCTAATAAATAAATAAAAGCTTTTTTTTTTAAAAAAAGCTAGTAGGTAAAAGGAAAGAGTCAATCATTTATCTTGCTTTTTCTCTATAAAATATACTTCAAAGTAACCAAGTAATTAATGAGGGCAAACTTTATAGGAGTGAGTCAACTAATAAATGAAGAAGATATGATAGAATTGGAATATCACCACTTTGCACCCCCTAATGAAATAATGGACCTAGGCAGTGATCATCAGTGGCTATTAACATCACAAAATGAGAGCCTGACATATAGGTGAAACAAAATTGACCACAAGTTGATAATTGTTAAAGCCTCAGTGGTAGGAATATGGGGGTCCATTATACTCTTCTCTCTAATTTTGTATATGTTTGAAGTTTTCCGTAACAAGCTAAGGAAAGAGAGAACAAAAAATGAACAGAGCAAGAAAAAATAAATTCAGCAGAGACTCCAAGGAGATTCCAAGTCACTGGAATGTTCCACAACTACCACCACCACCACCACCACCACCACCACCCCAACCCCCAAACTGGGCACAGAACTGACTTAAAGTGCCACTGTCAGGGCCCCTGCTCTTCTCACCTGGATCTGTGCGGTTAGCTTCTGGATCTCCAGGCCCAGCTGCTGCTCCACTTCCAGGGCCAAACTTTCCTCTGAGGCCAGTCTAGACAGAGCTGCTGCCTCATGCAATAGAGGCTTTGGCAGAAACTGGAAGTGAGATTTGAGCCCAGCCCAGACTGCTCCCCTTCCCACTCGCTAGCTACTCACAGGTAAGTTCTTCTGGATCAGGACCAGGAAGGAACCTGGGGCCCACGCTGCCAGATGCTGCTGAGTTTGGCCCAAAAACCAGACCAAGGTGGTCTGCAGGGTACAGAGCCCCAGAGCAAGTGGTGCAGGACCTGGGGAGAGGAGGATGGAGTATCTGAGGGGTCACAAAACCCCTCTGGGAGGGGGCAGGCTTCAGAACAGAGTAAAAGAATAAAGGGGACATATTCAATTGTTCTGTTCCTCCATCCCCAGCACCTTGTCTCACCTGGAGGCTGACAGAGGAGTAGCCCTGACCTGGGTTCTCGAAGGGCATCCAAGAGAGGAGGGAAGAGCTGTTGCAAAAGTTCAGTGGTATGAGAGGATGAGGGAAGGCTGCTCTGATCTTCACCAGCAGATCCCAAGGCCTGGCAGAAACCTGAGGATGAGGGATAGGGTTTGATGAGGAAGGGGCAATCTGGGGCTGTTTCACTCCCAATGCCCCTTCCTTCTCACCTTGGTCCCAGCTCCAGATAAGAGACTGATGAAATAGGTTGCGACACAAAGAAGCCAACTCCTTCTCACACTCCTGAGGCAGGGATGCTAGTGGGAGAAATGGCTCTGGAGCCTGAAAAGAAGGCCTCTCTTTTCCAGAACCACTGCCCACTCAATGATGGGGGAAGAGGGGAGGCTTCCACCAAGACTCAAGACTTGAGTGGAAAACAAGACTGGGCTTGAAAGCCCAGATGCTATAGCCTGTCCGGTGGGGAGGGGGGTTAGAGGGGTGGGAGTAAGCGGTGGGGGTGGTAGTGTTCATTCTAAAGGGCCCGCTTTTGCAGTCTGGCTGGCAGGGGAGTGACGTGGCTAGGGAGGAGAAAGAGATCCCAGTCTTCCCAAATGCCCACCCAGGCCCATCACTCACCCTGACCCAGTGCCTGACTCAGCTGTTGTGCCGCTGCCCTGCGGTCCCTCCAGGGTCCTAGACTTAGGTCCAGACTCTGAGCACAAGCTGCCCACAGCAGGGTCCAGTACCGGCTCCACAGGGCTCCAGCCCCTTCAAGCCCCAGTCCATGGCTAGCTGAATCCGCCACGCCCCCCAGCAGCCCCAGCAGCCCGGGCAGCAGCTCCCGCTCCTCTTGGCACCGACTGCGGAGCTGATCCCGCAAGCCCGATCCCTTGAGCGCCTCATCTAGCTGACCAGCCACCTGGCAACCCCGCTCCCTTGTCAGGAGGCGGAGCACACGGGCCGGCGGGAAAGGGCGCGCTGCCCCGGGGACATGGCTCAAGGCTTTTCCCTGCAGCTGGTGGTAGGCGGGAAGCGCCAGCAGCACGTCGGCAAGTTGGGAGGACAAGCCGGGGCTGGCCGGCTCGCGACCCAGAGCCCGAAGCTGCATCTCGATGGCAGCATCCAGGCGCTGGGCGGCCAGTCCGACGGGGCGCGCCAGGAGGAGCCGTACGGGAGTCTCCCGTAGGCCGATTCGCAGGACAGCCCCTCGGGAAGGGTGCGGTAGCAGGTCGCGGCAGAGCGGAGGCAAGGGGCCGGGGCCGGGGACCTGCGCGCTGGGACTCAGGACCCTCAGGAGGCGCACGGCCGCCTGTAGGTGCCGGGCGCAGTCCCGGGCATGGAGGAGCTGCTGTCGCTCGCGATGCAGCCGCAGCAACACCGCCCGGAGACGCTGCAGCGCGGGAGGGATCGGGCAGCCGGCTGCCGGCTCCCGCCACGAGTCCGCGGCGCCTTCCTCTTGGTGCTCTCCTGCGTCCGCCGGCGCCGCCCACCACGGCCGCCCTCCCCGAGCTCCGCGGGGCCGCGGGTCCAGGCAGGGGATGCTCCCGGCAACCGGCAGCCACGGACAGCCACGAAAGTCCCCGCGAGGAGTCCCCGCCTGCCTTCTCTCCCACTGCTCCTCCACAGCGCCTCCGGGTTGCGCCGTCAACGGCGGCACGGCAGCGAGCGGAGGCAGAAGGCCACCGGAGCGAGACGCCTGGGCCATGGGGCGCCGTGTCCGGAACGAACCTAACGATTCCCACCTCCCCGCACTGCCCAACGCCCGCTGCCGCCGGGACTCCGCCCAGTCCCAAGAGCCGTCATCTCTAGCCCGGGAGCCGCTGGGACCGTCGTGGACTCTCTCGCGCTCCGTAGTCGGAGGCTTCTGCCCCTAACAAAGATGGCGGCCTACTCGGTCCTACTCCGCCCCCCGGCGGTATCTAATGCCAGACCATCTTTCACTTTCGGGTCACTCTTGATGGGAGATGGCGCCGATTCCGAAGACAGTGGGGCGGATAAAGCTAAGTAAGCCGGTGTGACAAGACGGGAAGGGGGTCCAGGAGGGGAGGGACAGCCCCACTTGGGTCTACCTGTTTTCAGTAGGGTCTTGTGCTTCCCGCGGTGGGCGGAAGGCTCCGGCCCATCCATCCCGAGCCTTTTCACGCGCCACCGCCTTCCTTTACTATAGACTGTCCTCTGCGACCTGGCTGCCCGCTGGGGGTCGCTGCTGTCCCCAAACTCTGCCAGGAATTCGGTCCTGAGGACTACGGCACCGAGGTAAAAGGACTCCGAGCTCCCCCTTGGCCTGTTTATTTTGGTCACGCCTCTTTCCAGCCAGCTGTGCTGAGCCCCGCCACAGCCGGGCGCCCACTGGGCTCCGAGCGCTCCGTGAAGGCGTGGCCTCGGGCTCGGGCTCGGGCTTGGAGGAGCGCTTGGCAGATGGAGGGTGGTGGAAGTGGGCAGGATTGGGCGGAGGGTCTCTGAGTTGAGAATTGGGGAGTGGGTGGGAGTTCCTTAGGGTAAGATCTTACGAACAGAGGGAAGAGTGCGAGCAAAGACACCAAGGCAAGGAAGAGTTTAGAGAACCTCACTGAAGTGAGACCTGAGTGGTGTAAGAAATGAAGTGGGGAAAAGGCAGCAAGTAGCATGAAATGCTTTGTCTGGCACAAGGGCTTGGATGTCCTCAAGTAGGTGATAGGGTTATTGAGGGAGGGACAGCATCAGATTTGGGAGCACTTGAGAAGCAGTGTTTCCAGCTGCTTCCTGGGTATCTCCAAAACCTCAAACTCAGCAAGTCCATCAGTTAATTCATCTACTTTGCAAGTTGGCTGCTTTTCCTCTAACAGTTTTGGCTGATAATGCAAACTGACATCGCGTTACTTAATGCAGAAATCTGAGAATCATTGTATATAATCCTCCCTTTCCTTTACCTCACACATTTAGTCAGTCACTAAAATCCACTTTGGAAATGTCTCTTGACTCAAGCCCATCATTTCCTTTCCTGCTCCTGCTGCCACTGCCTTAGTTTAAGAATTCATTCTTTCTGTCATAGGGGCCTCCTAACTAACATTCCACCCCTAGAATCATCTCCTTCCCCAGTGCTGTTTCCCTTGAGTGCTTCACTCCCCAGATCAGGCCCACTCCCATCACTGACAAGACGAAGTCCAAACTCACTGGGTCACACAGGGTTCTTCAGACCCAGCTCCTGGCTGCATCTCTAATAAAATAGTCTCCTCACCAATCTCTCTGCCTTTGCTCATTCAACACACTGAGCACCACCAATGTACCAGGCACTGTGTTAGGTACTGGGAAGACAGCAGTAAACCAAACACAAAAACCTTTTAGTCAATGAATTAGAAGCATCTAGTGGAGGCGGCCAGTCAACAAATAAACAATATAGTATGCCAAATATGAAAAATGCAAGGAAAAGTAAAACAAGAAGGATGGGAAGTGCTAAATGAAGTTGAGTTTCTCTTTTTAAAGGGAGTAGTCAGGGCCTCCTGGGAAAGGTTTAAGCAGGGATCTGAAGGGGTGAGCCATTCACTGGGGAAAGAGCATTCCAGGGAGAGGAAGTAACAAGGACAAAAGCCCTGAGATAGGAGCACACTTGGTGTGTTGTAGGAACTTTAGAGGAGACCACTGATCACTGTAGCTAGAGGTGGGGCCAGAGGGTAGGAGACGATTCATGGAGGACTGGGGAGCAGATTGTGTTCGGCCATGTGGTGAATTAAGAGAGTAGCATAGACTGTGCTTTGGGGAGAATTAGAAGGTCAAAGTAATTCCTTTTTTGTTTGTTTTTAGAAATGGCTAGACTGGGGCACGCCTGGGTGGCTCAGTCAGTTAAGTGTCTGCCTTTGGCTCAGATCATGATCCCAGGGTCCTGGGATTGAGCCCCGTATCGGGCTCCCTGCTGAGGGAGCCTGCTTCTCTCTCTCCCTCTGCCTTTCCCCCAGCTTGTGCTCTCTCTCTCTCTCCTCCTCAAATAAATAAAGTTAAATCTTAAAAAAAAAAAAAAAAAGAAGAAGAAAGAAAGAAATGGCTAGACTGGGCCAGTTAGGAAGCTGAATTAAACCCACGAGGAAATTGAATTTGAGTGTAAGACT